TGAGATTGAGTGTAGCTTCGTGTTGAATGTGTGTTTGCGGTTTCTAATTCGCCGAAGTTACAATTAAAGAAAGGATGTAACAAGAATTGTATTGCAGAATCAATACATACGAAGCAAGGGAGTAGTACGTAAAGATAGCTTTATAACATCGCTGAAAGAATATATCACCGGCCAGATTCGACTTCATTGTAGATGTATCTCACGAAATGTTAGTATTGTAGAGTAAAGAAAATTACTGATATATATATTTACACAAATGGAGATGTTGTACGTCTCCGGATAGATATAAATTCTGAAAAATCCTCAAGTCTTTGTTTATATACTGTCGATTGTCTAACAATGGAATGCGTTACTACAGGGTAACGTAAAAAACAGAATCCAGGTCGTATAGAACCTATTTTAAAGATGGCATAACTTTTGTACAAAGATCCTTAGATTATTGAAACGTTTGGGTGCATGCAAAAACAGAATTTTAAGTCTCAAATAATATTTTATTATTTTTCGTAGATTTAATTGAGAAATTTATTCCGTTTTACTTGGTCAACCAGTAAATTGTCAGTATTCTTATGCGCGAAATTGCAACGACGATATTTTTCAAAATATTTTTAGTTTCAACCAACACTTAAGCGTATAGTCATTTAAATTGGTCTATTGCAATGAAGATAATATGTGCAGGACTTCCGAAAACAGGCACGAAAACTATCGCAGAAGCTTTAAGAATACTTGGATATAACGTGCATGATGTATTCGAGCAGTTTATGAAGGACAGGGAACTGTGGGACAAGGTGACGTCAATCATAGTGCAGTGTAGGGTTGTGGAGGAAAATTTGCAATCGACTACGACTTTCAGTTGAAAAAAATTGGACTACGAATACGGATTGTAAAAAAATTGGTATTCCATTTGTATGTGTACCAGGTTAGGGTTAGGTCATAATCTTATTCCGATTTTCTATATTTTAGTTTTATTACGAGTTCGGGGACAAAAACCTGGGCATATGCAAGTCTCCTTTAATTAGTTCTGGGTACCTGTAAGAAAATTTTGTCTTCTATTTTCATCATTGAATGTATGAAATTCCGACTTCCAACCCGGGTAGTTTAAAACTACGACTCTAGCTCCGACATAAGTAAGAACATGCCAAACCTTGTCTCCACAATCCCGTTACTCGGCTCCGGTCGCGACCTTTTTAATTTTATCATTACCTAATCAGATAGTCAACAACACAGTTACCACAAAAGATTACCAGCGGGTTCTCGGAGATGTTGATGCAGTGATGGACTGGCCTGCAGTTGCAGTTTGGGAACAAATTATGGACGCATTTCCCGATGCTAAAGTGGGTAATTGGTAAAACTAAATACTTTAACAAGAATTCTCCATGAATTGTATCTATAATAAAAATTGGATTACGGATACTAGACGTGTATCTACGTAGGTGGGCTATAAATGTGCCACATAAACGAGGTTGTAGTTAAAGGTCGTCCCTCCATCACAAACTATATTAAATTGTATTTGCTTAAATTTCACCTTATAAATAAACTATTCTGACCCGTTTTGATGTCCTAGTTTTCGCATTTTCTTTTAATTGCAAAGTTTATTAAATTTGTTTTTAACAGTCATTTGTTTTGCGATGATTTATTAATGATGTTTTGACCAAGCTTGACTGTTTTACATACAGGTCATACTGATGGTCCGTTCAAGCGAAGATGAATGGTACAAAAGCATGAAACGTCACTCGGGAATCATTAATAAATATGTGCCGTATGTAATATCTTTATTCATAGAAAATAAAATAAATTAAAGCGACGCAATTGAAACCGACAGTAGGAACTTTCGTTTGAAGAGTAATGCAGTTCTAGGGCCAGGATGGCATATGATACGATCTATCACTTTTTAGCCTATCGTTATGACAGTTGTCAATGTAATGTCCTAATAACAACTCGATGATACATTGCTCACTTCGATTTTATATAGAGTGGCAAGAGTCGCGATCCACAATGCCTGGTTTGACTTCACAGTGTTAATACATATCATAGAAAAATCTTAGTCTTCTTTTGATAGCTTACCTAGAATGAATTTCATAAATAAAGCGCATTCTTTCGAATTTCTTGTTCGATAGAAGAGGTTTTGCCTAACATGTCAATATAAGTGTGTCATATCTACGAATAAATAATGAAAGCTAATACACTCATTATGAGCTTGTCAATAACAAAAATACCTTGAAATCTTATTGGGCACGAAATGAATCTATGATGGATAGTTTTGTTAAATTGTTATTGTTGTTGTTAGCATTCCTTTTTCTTTTGTTGTTGTCTCTTTAACTAGTGGACCCCACTTTGAAATTTAGCAGCGGTCAAAGATTGTTGTTGTCGCCCGAAGGCAACCACTTTATTTCTTTCAAAAATGTTTCAAATCGTTTTTTAAGTTTTGAAGTTATGTGTAATGCTGTCATCAAAATTATAATTCGCAATGTGTGGTAGTTTGGCCAACGCATTGCAGCGATTTGTTGTCCAGAAGTTCTTTGATAAGGAAGACTACCGGTACTGTAGGATTCGATACTACTTCGTTTTGATGTTCGTGTATGTATATTTGAGTACATCTGTCTTGTTTTCAGAACAAATGAAACAATACAGCAAATTCTGTTTGGCCTGGTGTCTGGACCAGTTGCAAGTCACTTTTATAAACTCGAGACAGCGTTCTGTTCTGCGTGCCTTGGTATACCAAGGATGTATGGATCCGTTGTAACAGAAACATTTCTACGGTAAGAACATTGATATGCATTTCAGGTTCGTTCTCCGCGTGGTGGAGCTCTTGACTCGGTATATAAAAGAATGTGAAGGGGTTTGGTATCACCTCAATCAAGGATTGTTAGCAATCCCGTTCTTGTTTTGTTATATACATCATACCACGGCAGCAAGTATAGGTAACGTGCATCGTAGCTGGCGACTAGCGTGTCATGTTAATGCAGCTTACGTGGTGTTTCCCCGAAAATAAGACCTAGCCTTAATTTTAATAATGATTTTAATATAAGCCCTCCCCTTAAAATAGGTCCTAGTCAATAGCTCACATTTATTTTTTTGACCTATTCGATAGCAAGAAATCTCTCCTACACTTTTCAAATGAATAACAATCTCTGTTTAGCGGTTATTTCATGAAAAACGTGTTATTTATAAGTAGATGGATATCGGTTTTCATATTTTGAACATCTAAAAACCTCGTAATTCTCTACTTTATAAATAATTTTGTTTTTGATAAATGAAAATAAAAGCCATCCCCCAAAATAAGCCCTAGTGTTGTTTTTCGAAAGAAAATTGAAATAAGGCCGTGTCTTATTTTCGGGGGAACACGGTATTCTGAAATGAGGGAACATGTTGTTCTTTAGTTGATACAAAAGAGAATGCGTTCTTAAAAGTTTTAATCCCACCACTGTATATAAGTATACAACGTGTATAGAAAACCGGATAACCCTAGAGAAAATAAATATTTGTAACACGGCTCTGAGAACTTGCTTAGAAAAGAAGCAAAAAGAGTTGGATCTAACGTTTGGAATGAATATATCTATCCTGAACGTTTCACTTATTCGGTATGTTTCAGATCTCGGTATCGCCAACACAATTCTTACGTGAAGTCGACTTGTCCCAAGGGAAAATTACTGATATACAACGTTAAAGAAGGCTGGGAACCACTTTGTCAATTTCTGAACAAAGAAATCCCAGATCAGACGTTTCCAAAAGTTAATGTTAAAGGAGATCTCACTCGAAAAATGGTGAAGAATAATTGGAAATATGATTGTGGTTTGAAACAAACAATCAGTAAGCAAAGGAGAATACGACTGGCTAAAATATGCTTTGTACTTATTGCGTTAATATCTTGTCTAGTGTACAATCTGATGAAATAATAATAAATTTTACTGCCGAGTAGATTTACAAAATTCTCTTGCGAACTTGCTACAACCGGCACCTTATAATGTTACTAACCACCGAGCTAGAAATTCGATCGTTCTGTCCTAGGCTAATTCAATTGATCAGCTACCTGATCCTTATTGGCGTGTATAGTACCACGGTACAATTTTAATCAATCAATATGTTTGCTGGCCAACTTTTTCAACCAATATTTCAATAGAAGCATGTCAGATATGGTTTTCTTCAGTTTTCTCTCTCGGTATTATATTATTCATTTTAATAAGTTATACATGGTAAATTATGTAATGGTTATTCAATTTAAAACAGATTGAAAGTATCAGCCATACCGCCGTGCTCGAATTGATTATTAGACTTGAAATTTCCGCGCTTCAGGCCCGTCGAACAATTATATATATTATAATATGTTGCGTATACGTAATGGTCACGTCAACCGCCTGGAGGTTGAATAATTTGGTAATCTTTGTACCGGAAAAATAGCTTAATGCTGGCATAGTATCATGGTAGTGGCATAAATATCTTCATCGCTGCTTAAATAGTTCAGTTCTTTAGAGGCAAAAGATAAACTTGGTTAGCTCGAGTATCAGACTATCTTATTATATTTTGGTTATGCCCAAGGGATTTATTCTATCGTCCTTCTAGTTTTTAGGCTATACGGAGACTGTGCGGAGACATTTGAAGTTATCGGATGATTTACTAGCACATACATTTCGTTGAAGCTCCACTACGACAGGGTGTTCAAAAAATAACGCAAAATTAACAGAAGTTAAGATGAAATGCTACCTAAAACATTCAACGAATGACACCTTTTAACAGTATTGAATTACAGTGAAAAATGCCATTCAAACATTTCACGACTGACGCTTTTTAACAGTTACTTTTTTAACGTTGCCATGACGAAAAATTTTACCTTAATTTTGCGTAACTTTCTTAACACCCTGTATATAGCTTATTATATAGTAGATAAGGGTTAGTGCGGTATTTCGTTACCCAGCGATCCATGATCGTCTGAAAATTCGGCAGTGTAAACAAAACTATCGATCTGTGAAACTTTCTGTTGTTCTGAAGCTCAATATTGACACAAATTGTAGTCTGCAGGTCATCGGCTATTAAGTAAATAAACTAACCAAACGAAAATGGACAAAGGCTCATTCTGATAAGTAAATGATTCAGACAGAATATTCGGATCACGAATTCAATCTTGTGTCAACTTAGTGGAAATAGTCTATCTATCGCTATGAAGGTAATATGCGCAGGACTACAGAAAACCGGTACAAAAACTATCGCAGAAGCTTTGAGAATACTTGGATATAACGTGCATGATGTGTTCGACCAGTTTATGCTGGACAGAGAACTGTGGGACAAGGTAACGCTAGTTTTAGTATTGGAAGTTTTAAGGGTGCCACCTTGGTATGCAATCTCAGCGTCATGAAACTACTTTGGAACGTGATTTCACTTGCTTAACGTTATTGATTAAGGCATTCTTATAGAATTCAGTTCCTAACCCTGTCATCGCTGGGTTAGGATTAAGTCAGAGGTGGGCAATTACCCATCTGAGTGGGCCATTTACACATGCTAGACTTGATTACTAGGCTCAAAACTATGAATAGAAAACAGTTTATTTACAAAAGATAGTCCAACAGCTAGGCTAACGTTTATCTTAATAAGAAGCACAATGTAACAATTGGGTTCATTTTGACGTTATTTTCATCGATATTTTCAACGAAAATTTATATCCATAAAAGCATAGTCGAAATTTTAGCAGACATAAATGGGCCGGGTGAAACACTTCGGTGCCGTAAATTGGCTACCCGTGGGTTAGAGTAATACTAAAATCACTGCGACCATACACTGAGATCGCATACCGAAGTCGCACCATTTTGTGTTTCAAGAGCGACGTCTTAATTAAGTTGATGTATCATTTGAAACCTAGATTGTGGCCAACACAGTAACTGTGGAAGATTATCAACGAATTCTCGGAGATGTTGATGCAGTAATGGACTGGCCAGCAGTTGCAGTATGGGAACAAATCATGGAAGCATTTCCCGATGCTAAAGTGGGTAATTGGTCAAACTTAACAATTTGGTTATTTATTGCTACGCGTCGTTATGCAGATAGCATCTCTAAACCTTGTCCAAACAAGAATATTATTATTTTCAGTAAATAACGCATGACAATGTGAGATATCTTGGTTATTAGAGAATTAAACTCAACTATGCCTGCCTCGCTTGTTATATTCATTCCACTTCGAGGTGGTGTACGAAACACAGCTGATTATTTAAATGCTCAAAATGGAAATTGGAAATCAAATCTTACCGCCATGACAGAAACGCCACAGTTGAGTGTTCTCTGTCGGAAAGATGTCCGACTAGTCTGACGTCACAGCATTGCCACGTGACTCAATATTCATAAGATTATATCAGAATTTTTGGTGAAATAGGGTGATTTTTCCCACAACAACAATTTAGTAAATCAATCCATTAGTAGGCTACTCTTCGTGTTCAATACTATAAGATTGGGTGTCTTCACTCTATCAAATATCTCGCGGGCTTTTGTCTGTGTTGTTGTCTGTGTCCGTAGTTGAAATCTTTCATCGATACTTTTCGTTTTGGTATTTACAGGTTATATTGATGATTCGTTCGAGTGAAGATGAATGGTACAAAAGCCTGAAAAATCACTGTGAAATCATAAATAAATATGTACCGTATGTATTATTTGTCTTTTTGTAAAACCATATAAATCCAGGGCAACGTTGAGGAAACTAGTCAATTAGTTAATTATTAAAGAAAGTAATTGATCCAGTTGCATTTGAATTTGAACTAAATCAAGAAGCGCATTACGTTTTGATAAAGGCTCGTTACAGTATTTCAAAGGCGATACTTTTGCGGTTCATTTATTCGGTTAAATATTATTCTAAAATCAGTTTAAAAAGATACGGATTGAATAATGAGTCCGTACAATAATAATTATTTATCTATAGAGCAATGTTAGTTGGATAATTTGCGAAATTGGCATATATTTAAAGCCATAATAATATTTGAAAAATCCTTATAACTGCCTGATAAAATTTTTGCTATGATTTATAACATTTCTTCAAATGACCCTAGAAGTTCCCCGTGTATAAGACGTTTTGCAACTTTGCCCTGGAGAAAGTTCTGTATGAACAGCCTCATAGAACTAGAAATCTACCAATTGTGGACGATTAGTTCTTTTTCATTCACTGTATTTAGATGGGAATCTACTTGACACCACATTCTATCACCTGCGATACCAGTATAATATACTCATAATTAAAATTATTATTTTCAGATCAAACGAAACCTTACAGCAATTTCTATTCCATGTAGTATCTGGGCGGGTTGCAAGTCACTTTTATAAACTCGAGACAGCATTTTGTTCTGCGTGCCTTGGTATACCGAGAATGTATGGATCCGTTCTGATAGAAACATTTTTAAGGTAAGAATATGGGTATCATGAAACCTGGCACCTTGATCCAAGGTTGCTTTTTCTATTATCGGTTGCGATAGTTGTCCTCGAATTGTCCAGATTGGATAATGTTTCTGCACCATACCTTTCCGGGCGCTCCAGAAGTTTGTGTTCTAATATGGAGGTAACTTATTTTTTATGTCTACTTTACATCAAGTTGTGTAAAGGGACCTATGGACAGGGGGCATATTCACTTGGCTAATAATTTTCCGCAACCAGAGACCCACAAGCGCAAAAATACGAAGTTACTCCCGAAGAGACCGGAGTGATAATTTATGTTGATATATTGTTTCAGATCTCGGTATCGCCAACATAATTTGTACGTTAAATCTACTTGTCCAAAAGAGAAATTATTGATATACAACGTTAAGGAAGGCTGGGAACCTCTCTGTCGATTTCTGAACAAAGAAATTCCAGATCAAGCGTTTCCAAGGGAGAATGTTAAAGGAGATATCACAAGACAAATGATGAAAAATAATTGGAAATATGATTGTGGATTTCAAGAAACAATGCAAAAACAAATGAGGATACGATTGGCAAAAATATGCTTTGTGATTGTAGCGATTATATCGTGTTTAGTGTATTATTGGATGATATAATGATTAAGAGATGCATTATTAGCAGTTGCAACCTCCTAATTTTTTTAATCAACTTGTAGTCAATTTTTATTGTAGTGAGGTGCAATTTAGTGAGATCACACATGATTTTTATTTTTGAAAAATTATAATTATTTTTTATTGGAATTATTAGATTTTTGACACAATATTAAAGATGTCATTCTGCTTGATTAAATTAACAATTTCGCTCCAATTGTGAGAGTTGCTGTAATTGGTTCTTGTCGAACGCAATATTTTAAACAGGAATGCATGTTCACAGTAAGATGGTACAAACATATATATCAGTCGAAAAAAACACGAGTACATTTTACACGCGACGAAACAAACATGAGCAGTTGCAAGTCTATATTTCTTTAGGAGTTACTCAAATATGCTACCAATAAGCATTAGGTTGTAATATGTAAAATGTGACTATTGTTTCTGAATTGGTAGAGAGTGACCGCTTGTGGATGCCAGGTTTATGTAAGCCTTTCTATTAGAGTCTGACAAATGATACCCGAAAATGATATATGTTTGCATTAAGACTTAATTGAATAAATCAGGCTAAAAACACAATTCCCATTTTGTATCCAGTCATTGCAGCTTCACACCCAAGCCTCATCCTGCCAGACAGTTGAAAATTTCTTTAATTTTAAACTTTATTATTTTAACCCTTTTACACCCATTAATATATCATCAAATAAATCATACATAAATTTAACCTTACATTATATAATATACCAAACAAAAAATAGCGTGATGAGAACAAAACAGATTTCAGCCATCCTCCAAAGTGTTTGTCTTTCTACTGTTTTTTGGAATCCACAGTTGTATTTCCATTTATTGTTCATAAGTTTCTTCATTATTTCTCCTTTAACATTTACCTTTGGAAACGTTTGTTCTGGGATTTCTTTGTTTAAAAACCTACAAAGTGGTTCCCAACCTTCTTTAACGTTGTATATCAATAATTTCTTCTCGGGACAAATAGAGTTGACGTACAAATTATGTTGGCGATACCGAGATCTAAAAAAGATGAAAAAAAATAGGATTGGCATCTATTACATAGCAGGGGTGTTCAATCTTTAATACAGAGAGGCCAGATACAAATGAATGCGTGAAGCCGCGGGCCGCACCTTTATTCAAAGTTGCAGGCACACATATTTTGGTTATTGATCTTATGACAAGCGTTCGGTTTGCAGGTATAAACATAGGAAATGGAATTACTCGCACATGCCGGATCGAACTAAACTAAAAACTCGTTTCGCGGGCCGTACGCCGTTCGCACAATTTTTCGCTGCGGGCGCAGGTTGCACACCCGTGAAATAGAAAATGGAGACTAACCTCCGTAAAAATAAATTTTCATGAATGTCAGCACATCTAAATGTAATTGGCAGAAACTCTTACGTAAGTATGGGTCGGAAAGAATTTACCGTGAACCGACTTTTCTATCTCTTAAATTCGAAATCGGTTGTACATTTTTACCAAGAGATATTTAGCAAAATATCCACTGCGTGCCCAGTAATCATACCCTCACCTCAGGAATGTTTCTGTCATTACAGAGCCATACATTCTCGGTATTCCAAGACAGGCCGACATAAACTCTGTTTCAAGCTTATAAATTCTGCTAGCTAATGGACCAGCTATTACATGGAATAGGAGTTGTTGCACTATTTCATTCGTTCTGAAAATAAGAGATAATATTTGTTTAATCGTTGATTTGTAGATCATGCGCTGTTGCTGCGTACGTACTGAACCCTCATAAGTGAGAGGTTTCATTATTTTTGCAATCAGGACATTTGCACCAGCGTACTTTTGCGCTCGCGCACATGTGCAACAATAGACAAGTGCACCCGCAGTTTTCAGCACCCACATACAGATTGCACCCATAAACGCTCTCAGGTACATTTCCATTTACGTAGACTACTTTTGCATCAACAGGCATCAGCACTCTTGGCTGCAAATTTACATTCAAGGTGCTGAATGCTTTCATCTTTCAATGTAAGTAAAATGACAAGAATACACACGGAACGTAATTATTCGTGACTTTGCATTGGTTTTTCATGCTTCCATACCATTCATCTTCATTTGAACGAATCGTCAGTATAACCTATTAATAGAAAGTGTATGTACCGCCATAACTGGATAAATTGTTAGTATTCACAAGTAAATCTCCTCCCTCCATATCCAGCTCGTACGAACAGCGTTAAGAACGGACCAGCAGACCACCTTGACTTTCCGTATGTGTAAGTTATGTTGTGAGAGAGAAGCATGCACATTGCAATACTTAAACAAATATTCTGATGGTCGATCCACAACCAAACCAAAACCAAAGTTTGATGTTTTAGCTAAAAGTAGCTCAAGGAATTTGTTAAGATTGCGATCAAATTTAGTTTGCTTTTGTAACACTATAAATATTGTTCATAAAAAGGGAATTTTTACGTCACACTCACATGGTCCGCCAGTCTGGTTGCGCCCGTGGTCCAAAAAGCATGCTCAACCTTGAACTTTAAACTGTCAACTTATCTGACAACAAGACCTAGGGCGACAACCCTTAATGGCGATCCCTGAGCTGCGTTGTATCTGGTAATACTTTAAAATGGAATAGTTAAATATATATATATATACTTCATTCCATATTTTCGCATTTTTTGTTGTTGTTTTTATTACTTCTTTCTATAATTTTATACTAATCGTTGAGACTAATTCTACCAATATCTTTAGAATATGCGTCACAAAGTGTTTCCATTTACTCACTTTAGCATCTGGAAATGCTTCCATGATTTGTTCCCACACTGCAACTGCAGGCCAGTCTATTACTGCGTCAACATCTCTGAGAATCCTTTGGTAATCTTCCGTGGTGACGGTATTGGCCACAATCTAGGTTTCAAATGATTGGATATCAATAAAAAGCCTAATAAAAGAGCCTTAAAAAACACAAAACTTCAGATACTAAAACCAACTTTACCTTGTCCCACAGTTCCCTGTCATACAATAGCTGTTCAAATGCATCGTGTACATCATATCCAAGTATTCTTAGTGCTTCTGCGATCGATTTTGTCCCGGTTTTCTGGAGCCCTGCACATATTATTTTCATTGCGATATCGGTGATATAGGTGGGAATACACAATTTTTAAAAACAAACTTGGTTTTGTTATCATTCCTACGTATCACACTACGGAGCTTCCAAGCGAATAAGCTTTTATTACTTTTCACGCAGTCCAGTCACTATTGATATTATTAGCTTAGCAATACAATTGAAGGCTGCATAAAATTTCACAATCCTGTGACAAGTATCAAATGCATGCAAATTACAATACCAATATATACTGTGTACTGTATATGACTTTTGTAGAGGCACGTGAAGATATCATTAGTTTGAATGTCACTCTACCTTACGCAATAAAAATAAAAGTTACGATATCAACTTCATAATGTAATATACAGGGTGGCCCAAAAGTAGGTATACAGTTATTAAACTATTTTATATGCTTTGAAGCTACTTGCAGTTCATTTTATGTTACTTGTTAAGTACCACAAAAATTGCTTATTTTTTAGATAATAAATCTAGTGTGAATTTTACATTAGTTTTCTAGCTGCTTGGAAGGTAATACATTTTGTAAATCTTTAGCCAACAGTCACTCATCATAGAGCGTTCATTTCTTCAGTATGGATAAGTAGTAAAATTTAGGTATGATTTGCATTTTACATCAACCGACAGAATGACAAGGAGATTACCCACGAAATGAGGTGCAAAATTGCTGTTTGGCAAGAAGCATATAAATCAGTAGGAAAACTCGCTATGATGAGTACCAGAAAAGCAAATAAAAATTAAAAGTGTATACTTACTTTTGAGACACCCTGTATGTATACATATCACATTGTCCTCATTCCTAAGTTTTTTGAAACAAAATTTTATGGAATAACTACTAATTATTAATATTATTTGATGATTGTTTTATAGTCATTACAAATTTTGATTATTTTCATACGTTCCAATTCAATTTTTTTTTGCCTCGGGCTACTATTGTCGGACTCGGCCACGGTTCACGCTAAAGAAATAAACCGATTATGTTTTGGCGTTCGATTTTCATTGACAAGAACGTTTTTGAATTCTTTATAGCATGTATAGCTACTGTTATTAAATTAAACTGCTTTTTATATCCTGTGGGCATAAGCGTGAGGTACTGATTGACCAGTTCGTGTGAGGCTTTCTTTCTTCAATCGAGTAAAGTTTCATCACTTGTTTTGTAGTTTGTAAATGAAATTTCTATCTGTGCTTTTTCACAATGAAGATTATATGCTCTGGTCTTCAGAAAACTGGCACAAAGTCTATTGCAGAAGCGTTGAGAATACTTGGTTATAATGTGCATGACTTGTACGAGCAATTTTTCCACGAAGAAGAATTATGGGACAAGGTAACTGAAACATTTGCAAAAGGAAAATAACATTTAGTTTTATGTAAAGCCTGTCATAATAAAGTATTTCTCATGAAATTATACATTAGTATGACGGAAGCTGTTGTTAATGGCTTCGATACAAAAGTGGACTCAGAATAGGTTACGATTTGCATATTTATTCCGGGGGAGAGTAAAGCCGTTAGGACGGCTCAACAATATGACGAACCACGGCCAGCGGTTACGTGAACCCACCTACGGCGGCGAGGAGTCCAGCAATCCTCTCGCACATGACCATCCTACATGGGATTAGAATCTGCGAACCCACGCATGGTAATCGGAAGGGCGGTGGCGAGCGTTTTCCTAACGCTTAGCACGATGAACCACACCGCCGCGTCGGTTGTTCTTGAAATTTTGTATCCCATCACTGCTTTCATGTTTGTTGAACAGGTTGTTAACAACACAGTTACAATAGATGATTATCGACAAAGTCTAGAAGATGTTGATGCAGTAATGGACTGGCCTGCAGTTGCAGTGTGGGAACAAATCATGGAAGCATTTCCCGATGCTAAAGTAACAATGAGGATTTTGGTTATTCTATGTATATCCTCATTATCTTTTTGCCTACATGTCAATATATTTTTTTCAAAGGCCGAATTAAAATTTATATGGCCTGCCTATGATGTTTCCAAAGGGCACATCACACATCCACAATATAAAGATTCGGTTCATGCATCTGAAACTAATACCTGATCAAGGTTCCAATACTTGCCCCGGCTGGTAACCGGACAAGATGCCGCTAAGTTATTTAACTGTCTCATCGACTTTCATCTCCCCGGGATAAATAGGAAACCCCTAAATGAAACTTCATGAATTATTGAAAAATAGTCATGTTCTCAATATTGTCTCGTCTAAATGCTAAAATACTCAGATCTTCAGTCGTTTCATAATTGATTTCAGCACGGTATTATTTATTATCATTAAACAGATAAATATCCTAAGTGATTCAAGATTCTTGCTGCACACTAACACAAATATATTTCTGTACCGTTTTGTCTGACCAAGGTCAGACATCTTCAGACATGCATAGTTTAATATATTTGTGTTAGTGTGCAGCAAGAATCTTGAATCCCTTAGGATAGCTATCTGAACTCTTGCTACAGCATCCTTGCAATATATGCATACGGTTCGGCCGGCACAAAAGCATAGAAGAAGTCATAAGTAGTTAGTCTCGCAGAAACCAAATCATTAGCACAAAACAGATGAATGTTTGAAATTTTTTCGGGTAACGCTTTTTGCACTACCGAAGAACTAAAATAACAGAACTATATCTTTAACAGGTGATTATGACGATTCGATCCAGTGAAGACGAATGGTTTGAAGCGTCAAAAACCAGTAGGAAGTTGGAAACCAATACGCACCGTGAGTGATTTCAGATTACAATCAGTGGCGTGTTTAGGACGTGGCAGTCATGGCTCGTGCTCGTGCCAAAACAGCGAAAAGTATTAATCATAAAAATCAACAAAATCATTTCAAATTGGGAATAACTGAAACTCGTAGTTCTAATCAAATAAATACGTACAGGTATCTCAATTCAATAATTGTCATTATAAATTGCAAACAACTATCAAAGGAGCGCATTTTTAGACTTTGCCATGGGCGCCATTTTACGCCATTTTTACGCCATTTTTACACCACTGATTACAATAGAAAGAGAGAAATGGAAAAGGACACAAGGGTATAGTGGATAAAACGTTAGACTTAACGATGATGAAATCTCAGGTTCAAATTTTGGGTTCACACGTTCACCCCCTCACCTAGGGTGTAATAACTTGGGTAGGCAGTGGCAAACCAGAACCTATATTGTAGCATTGAAGACGAATAAAAAGTTGAGAGGAACGAGATGAAAAGAGAAAAGAAAAAACACGTTGATGAAGGATGTAGAATGTACAGGGGCCTCCTTTGAATCAATTCATATATATTTTCATTTAAAATTTTTTTTTTCAGAAAAATTGATTTACTCGTGAAAATATATCATTTGATTGTGGGTTCAGTGTATCGCAGATTCCTAAAACGAGGCTTTCTATTTCTTAATGCTTGTCTTGGAATTCAACAATTTTCAGGAACACCAATTGAAGCTTTTATGAGGTCAATTGCTGCTATTAGATTTCTAACCAGTTCAAGTCGATCTCATCTCAAATTAAGGTGAACAATTTCAATTTTAATATGGGCTTGATTTCGTTATAACAATAAAAATTAAGTACATTGTGTCCAGAAAATATATGACCAGAACCTTTTTGTGCTACCTAACGGTTAAAAAACAGAAATTTTTATTTCCCAAAATGAAAGAATATTAATTTTATTATTTTCAAATTTTTCTCCTATGAAGTCCTAAGGAATTTGATATTGGGAAGTACTTGAGAATCCATCGTTGCATCTCTCAGGCCCTTACTTTTAGCGCATCACTTTTCAGGCAATCAAGTTCTTTCCTTATAAAGTCTAAATATTGCATCTAACATTACAAAATGTATCAAGGATCTAAACCAAAAAGTATACGACGCGGTAACAGACGGTCACGGACAGGCCCGGTCGACGCACAACGTAATTCTACATATGAATATTTCACTTGTACGCTTTTGAAATCAATATCATTCTTTTTCATCAGGTCCCGATATCGGCAACACAACTTATACGTCGAGTCAACATGTCCGAGTAGCAAACTTTTGATTTATAACGTTAAGGATGGCTGGGGACCATTGTGCAAATTTCTAAATAAGAAAATCCTGGACAAACCTTTCCCAAGGGAAAACATTAAAGCCGAAATGACCCACAAACTGTTGGCCAATAAATGGGAACACGATTGTGGATTGATGGAGGATTTACACAGACGATTCACAATACTATTGGGAACACTGGTTTTCCTAATAATCGCGATTATATCTTATGTTGTTATGAAAGATTTTGAAAATTAAAAGTCCCTTTTCAAATATATTTATATATACATCGCCAATTCTGAGTATTTATGAACAGTGCTTCATAGATTCAAATGATTCAAGCCTCAAAGTGACTCTCCGACCACCTGAACGTGATTTAACTTTTTCAATTCCGCCGGAACCTGAAATTAAGGACCGATCCTGAAAAGTCGTGCCGAAAAAGCATTGGGATGGGACAAGATGGTATTCTACCAGAATAGCTAGCTTATATATTTATCCGCCAGCATGTCTGGAACTGCGGTCAGAAATTTTCAAACGCCTGGTAATATGGATTTCTGTTGTTCAATCCCACTGGGACAATCTCAAGAATAAATACCGTTGGCACACATATGTTCCAAAAGGGAAAAATATGATGAGAAACAACATTAATCCATGTCAGATACCTTATACACTCAATCTGATTTGTTTTCAATAATTATTATAAATCGGCATTGGGAGGGTATTAAGCCTCGGAAAAAATTTTGGGAAAGTTTTTGAAGAGTAAAATACGATTTACCTCCCCGATTAATGTCGTATTAAAAATTGTCGAAAACTCTCTAACTTTTTTTTGCTATAAATTTTGATAAAGAGTAATGATACCGATGTATATGTTGTCGAATACATGAGTAATCCCAGTTTGATATGATGAAATAACGTTGATTAACGTGAGATGGAAAGTTTCGTGTCATAATGTGAAGGGGACTCATATTTTTTTCTTTCGCTCGAGCCTCTGACTCAAGGCTCGGATAACCCGTGACCCGCGACTGGACGCTACTGCAGGGCCTCCCACTCAACACTGATATTAAAGAAATTGAAAATATGTAAATTCAAAGCATTTTATCATATATATTATATTTAACTCATTACTATTCAGTTGTATTATGGCAAATAAATGGGATGTCCCGGGAATTTACAAACTTGTTGAGCGTCTCAGACTTTCAAGCCGCGAAAATTAACTTTGTTTTCATAATTTCAACATGGAATTGGGTACATTTGGGGATTAATTGCTACAGTATTAAACTCGTTACAATAATGTGATGCAATGTTTAAAAAATAGATAAAATTAAAAACATAAATACAAAACATTTTCTACAAAATCATATTAACATCCAAAAATATTCATTGGAATTGTAACAGGAAAATTTGACAATTAGTGGTATTTGTTTAATTAATGTAAATTTATTTAAAAGCAAATCTAAATCAATAATTGTTTCTTTAATGTGATTCTACATATATATTATACAATTTTCCTCCCCCTTTTATGCAGATATTGCTATTAATCTAGGGCACTCAACATTATTGTTAGATTTGAGAACATATTTATGTTTGCATGGATCGGAATCGTCAGGCATCGCTTCTTACTCGTCTGGAAGAATGGCAGTTTGCATGCTGAAAAACATAAACATAGACAGTTATTGTTGCGTGCGCTACAGCGGTACTAAGGTTACTAATTTTACATTCTTGATTTTTGATAATCACTTACTTGTTACAGCAAGATGTGGCAACAGTTTCAATTATTCGATAAACTATGAACAGTTGAGATGGGAGATGTTCATTGGATTTATTTCATTTTGGTGAAACCGGGTGGACATGATGGTGGAAGATTATTACGATCAATATCTTCAAATAAGGTTTCAACTTCATCAGGTCCAGGCAATCCATATGCTGTCAGTAGCGAACAGTTTAGATGAATCTGTATAAATGTAATAAACAAATGTGTTTAAAAGGTTATTTTTGTTAAACAGCAATCCATGAAAGAGTACAAATACATACGTGATAAGCTGCAATGTTGCATCGACATTCAACGCAAGGTCCGACGTTCCACACCTCACCAACTCCATAGAAATTCGTAAATATACCTAAAAAAGAAGTTGGAGTGTATTTATTTACACCTTCTATCTCCTGATATATCGTAGGTACAACTGGCGCTGATGCATCCAACAATCGCAAATGAGATCAAAGTTAAGAAAACAGCTTTTAACAGAGTATTTCATCTTGTTTGTAAGAAACAAATTCAATATTTCGAGCAAAACAAATTTTGAATCTTCAACACAGTTCAGAAATCAGTGTGGAGAGAACTAATTTATACAGAAATAATTTCAATTGTGCTGTGTTGGGCATAATCACTGTCTTAGCGATTTTCTCTGTTTTCAGTTTGTTCACAAATCACGAGAGTGCAAGTAGTCACTTTTGTTTTTTGAAATAGATACCTTTTACGATGAGCTGACGGAAGTAGTTTAGAAAGTCCTAATTTATTTATAGAAACATATCTCTGTATTACTAATCTGTTTACCAAAATTTTATAATTTCTTTCTGTTGGTTTTATGTTTTTATCCTAATACATTTAGCTTTTTATTTTCGATATGGAAAATTCTAATTGGATGAAATCTCGTAAACAACTTTCATTTGGGTCAATTATTTCACTTTTTGTAAATCTAATAATTACTAATCACTACTAATTTGAACCGAAAGTAAAAGAAATCTAGAAATCTGGAAATCTAGTATAAAAGTTATTTATAATAATCTGTAATTCTGTTTATTTTTACACTGTAATGTTTAATTTGGGAATTAAAAAGAAATTTCTTTGGCGCCAACCTCAGCCGAGCGCGACAACAACAATCCGAGGCCAAAAATGTTTCATTGGAACATGTGAAAACAATCAAAATTTGTAGTAACTAATAAACAATCACAAAATAATATTAATTGTCATTTTGTTTCACAAAAATTCAGAATGAGAACAATGTAATACAGGGTGGGCCAAAGTTGCGAGGTTGAAGGGCCGCAAAAACTTTTGAATAGGTCTCGCGGGCCGCAGTCGTAGAAAACCCAAAAGTGATCAAAACATGGCGAGTTTACTCACTGTAGATATATTTAGGAATGAGAATTTAATGATTCTGATCAGTTTTTCAAGGAAACTATATAAAGCCTTTAGTTATTTTTAAAAAAAATTCCCGAGAAATATCGTGGTATTTTCGGTATCTTTCGTGTTTGCTTTTGTAATGTCGCTTAAAATTATATTCTTTCGTGACAAATATTACTTGAAAACACACCAGACACTGTGGGTAAGGAAACACGTTTACTCTCAGTTTACTTCGGTCACCTTTTTGTACACTCATTGCGTGATAATTTTTTTACTTATAGCATGAGCAGGCCTAGTGCTACCGTCAAAAAACAACCAAGTTCGTCTAAGTTAGAACCTCGGACCAGGATAAAAAAATAACTGGATCGCGCGGCGCTGAGTCAGATCTGCGGTTTGTCACTGCTTTCACATGGCCAACGCTTGAAAATAGAGGAATGTTTTAGACGTTTATAGATACAACAATGGAATTCCGTAATTTTAACAAACATCAATCCCGACATCTGATCAGGAAAAGGACTATTCCTAGTTGGAATAGTTTAAAAATTAATCAAATTCTGCTAATAAATACAAATATCTGCCAATGGTTTAGTAGTGTACGCTAAAATTGTTCTGCGGGCTGCACGGAATGTGTCCGCAGTTTGGACCACCCTGATGTAATATATATCTATATTAACTCAATTCAGATTCTACCATGATTATGAACATGAAGGCTTGAAGTTTCAGATATGCAGTAATCCAGTTGTCGCTGTATAGTTGTTTTATTATTATACTACTAAAAACGAAACGAAGACAAAAAATTGAAACTTTTCCATAATATTTCTTCAGTTCTGACGCTCACAAATAAATCTAATTTCGTATCTTACGTGAAACTAATTGGAATGTAACTAAAAGTAGTCGCAACTATAAAATAAGAAACTATTTCTAATTTATGGAAAACAAGTGAGTAACGTTTCATTTATTAGAAAAGTTCTTATCCCAGAAACATATAAAAAGAATAAGTGTTTTTACTTTCGTTATCGTGAACGAAAATAACACGACAGACCGAATCGCATTTATTTTTTCCGTTCCCGGAAAGGTATAAGAGGCTGCGAATATGTCAAATACAACACAACTAAACTTTTCTGTGCAAATTGAATAACTTCAATAGTTTTCAACTTTCTGAACTGTCTTACATAATCGAAATCCTATTTGCTTGGGTGGCTGAATTCGTTTCTTACAAACAAGATGAAATACTCCTCGATAAAAGCTATTTTCGGATCTTTGATCTCATTTGCAATTGTTGGATGCATCAACGCCAGTTGTACCTACGATATATCAGGAGATACCTGGTGTAGACACACATCAACTACTCCTACAAGTAGATTTACAAATTTTTATGAAGTTGGTGAAGTGTGGAACGATGGACCATGTGTTGAATGTCGATGCCATCCCGTAACTTACAGAGTATGTATTAGTAATTATTGACTAGTATTGGACACAAAGTCCTTATGTGCGTCCTATAAATTGTTTTGTTTTTATTATGTTGATTTTGTTGTAAAAAAAATCTCCTTTTCATCAACTACAGGTACAATTGCTTTGAAATTTTCGGAGGTTAAAGATTGTTGTAATCATTAGAAGTCTAAAACTTTTATATTCTGTGGGCTCTATGGGATTCCTTTTTCAATCTGAAATTTTAGGTGATAACGTCATCAAAATTAAAAAGTGCGCATTAGGCCGCATTTCAGCGAATCAAGGAGAACTACCGTTAAAGATTTGATACCGATATTACTCCGTCATGGCTTTCGTGCCCTTATCTTCTGACATTGTTCTCTTGTTTTCTTGAGAAAAAATACCGTTTTTAAAATGTCATTTTTTAACTTTGATGCAGACTCATTTAAACTGTTCGCTACTCGTAGAAGATGGAAAGACTAGACCGGATGAAGTTGAAACCTACTTTATAAATCTTGGCAACGTCTATCCAACATCATGTCCGTTCGCCTTCACCCAAGTTACTGACTCCAACAAACATCTCGCATCCCAGCTGTTTGTTGTTTATCGATTTGTTGACACTGTTGCCACATCTTGCTGTAACAGGTGGGTAAATCTAACATTTAATGGTAGAGTTACGCGCGCTTTAATTTAATGCAGGGATCACCAAACTACGGCCCGCGGGCCGGATCCGGCCCGCGGCGTCACTTTATCCGGCCCGCAATAACACGCAAAAATTGCTAAATATTTTTCCAAGGGAGATTTTCCCGAGCATCGTCTTCCTTGTTTAATTTGTAACATTGGCCAATCAGCAAGATGCAAAAACGTGACGTAATAATAGGTCTTTTCGCTTTCGCTCAGACACTTTTTTCACCCTGATAGATTTTCAGTCGTGGTTGTAAACAATATTTCGTTTTTGCGACTTTAAATGCTATTCGTTAGTTTTTGGTTGTGTTTCGGAAATTTAAGTATGAATCAAATAAGTCAATCATCATTTGCGTCCTTAGGAGTTGTAGTTTTAATAGTAGTAAGGAAAAATTAGTCTAGGAATAGCTGTGACATAATAGGCAAAAATTCTCTACCGGTATGCAACGTTTTCTGAGAAAAATGCTCTTGTACACTCGTAGCGCGTGCTTTCGACGAAACTGTTTACGTTTCTTGTGCTAAAATAAACATCGAATGTGCATTTTGCGCTAACAGTACTGTAATCCCTCGCGTACAGCTCCAATTTCACAAGTCACACTAACTCCGATATAAATAAAAACTGCGTCAGTGGATAGATCTGAGTGAAAATAGAAAATAATACCAAGTTTATAACAAACGGTCAAGAAATAACGAAAATATCGGAACTTTAGTACCACCCGACAGGCCAATTTTTTCCATAAAGATTGTATTACTTTTTGATAAGAATTGTATTCACTAATATTTCGATGTGCGTCACATCTATGGAATATTGAGACTATTTCTGGATTTTATTCTGGCAACGGTCATTGACACCGCCGAAAGATCGTCACAAATAAACGCTGGAGTTGTGCATGATAGTTTGACAGTGGTTCATTGTGAGTACTATTTAACGATGTTCTGATTGTGCAAACGTCATAAAAATTGGTAAGTATCAAATTAGGAAAGAAATACACACGTACATATAAAAGTTATTGGTGTCCATAGACAATATCATTAATTTGCACTACATATAACTGGAGCGTAATTTTTAAAAGCGTCGAATGTTGGGAAATTTATGCGCTAATGAAAAAAATTAAATACCAGATAATAGATGTTTATTTTATCTAAATTATGTCAAAATTTCATGGAATTCTAAGCTACAGCAAGCAGTCCGTAGTCGTTTTTATGAGCGGTTTTCGGTTTTCTAACACTGCATAAAGGTACTTAGCAGACATGATGCGTACATTTTTGGCGCGAAAAAGCGGATTTTGAAAATTCCTAATTCACGACAGAAACGTTTTGATACCAGCTAAACTCAGGATAGTTGTTTAGATATTGAAATCTTCCATATTTGTTTTCCTAGGATGTTCCTGATCTATATTCTGCGATATAGATAGAATTTGAATCAAGTCTTCAGAAATGTAGAAGATATATTGTTGAATGGATTTCCCAACTTCTGTGAATTTATTATATTGCATTGACAAGAATATTCATCCGGCCCGTTTCAACACAGTTTGAGTCATACCCGGCCCGCGGTCAAAAAAGTTTGGTGACCCCTGGTTTAAATGATTCAAGCCTCAAAGGACTCGACTGACCACCCGAGACGTGATTTAAAACTCGGAGAAAATTCTGATTAACATCGTATTAAAAATTATCGAAAACTTACTAGCTTTTTGTAGCTATAACTTGTGATATAGCGTGAAGATACCGATGTGAATGTTGTTGAATTCATGATCAAATCCTAGTTCGATATGACGAAATGACGTTGTTTAACGTGGGATGGGAAGTTTCATGCCATATTGCAAATGCGACTCATATTTATTCCTTCTCCTGTTGTTTATAAAATCTGTTATAATGACTTTCGACGAGAACTTGAAACTTTACATCGACGCAGCCTTGACTCAAGACTCGGATAACCCGTGACTCGCTACTGAGCTTCCTGGGGCTCCTACCCAACATACATACGTTGTTTGTAAATTGAATGAACTGAACATTTACATGTAAATTCAAAGCATTTTATTTTATATAAAAATTTCAACTTCAGGGCACTGAACAGTATTGTTAGATTTGAGAACATATTTGTCTTTGCATGGATCGGAATCGTGAGGTATCGCTTCACACTCGTCTGGGAAACTGGCAAGTTGGTATCTGAAAAACATAAACATAGAGAGTTATGGTTGCGTGCGCTACTGAGGGTACTAATTTTACATTCTGTAAAAGGATTATGTAACACAATCATCATCATAACTAACTGCATTTAGGCGCATGTAACTTATTTAATTAGGTTTTATTATCACTTACCTACTACAGCATCTTGTTTCAACAGTTTCGATCATTCGAAAAACTAGGAACATTAGAGATGGGAGATGTTTACTAGATTCTTTCATTTCGATGAAGCCGGGTGGACATGATGATGGAAGAATATCAATATCTTCATAAAAAGATTGAACTTTATCAGGTCCAGGAATTCCATGATGTGTCATTAGCGAACAGTTTAGAGTCTGTATAAATGTAATAAACAAATGTGCTTAAAAGGTTATTTTTGATTAAACAGCAATCCATGGCAAAGTACCAATACATACTCTGTATGTTACGGGATGGCATCGACATTCAACGCATATTCCATCGTCCCACACTTCACCAACTTCATAAAATTTCGTAGCCTCAAACACTGGAGCACTAATGAGAGTGTGTTCACACCTTCTACCTCCTGTTGTACCGCGGGAAAGGCACGGAAAGGCGTTGATGCATCCAACAATTATAAATGAGATCAACGTTATAAAAACTGCTTTGATCGCGAAATTTTTCATCTTGTTTATAAGAAACAAACTCAATAATTCAAGCAAATAAGATTTCGATTTTAAACCACAACGTAGAAATTTGAAAAACAGCGGAGTAACTAATTTTTACAGAAATAATTTCAATTGTGCTGTAAATGACATAATCACAGTCTTATATACTTTTCTGAGCAAATGATAAAGTGATTTTCTCCATTTTGAATTTGTTTACAAATCACGAGAGTGCAAATATTCACATTTGTGATTTAAAAACAGATCTTTTTACGACAAGATCACAAGTTTATTTATTAATGTAGAAAGTTTCAATTTATTTATAGAAATATTTTGTCTGTATTACTAATCTGTTTACCAAAGTTTTATATTTTATTTCCGTTGATTTTATATTTTCGTCTTGAAAAATTTGTATAAAATATATTTAGCTTTTTAATTTCGATGTGCCTACTTCCAATTACATGAAATCTCGAAAACAACTTTCATTCGTGTTAATTATTCAACTCTTATGGAGAATTTAATAACTATCAATTATGACCGGCATTGTGGCATCGCTAATGACGACGAAATATGAAATTACAATGCTGTATATCCCGTAGGAAATGGAATTTTCGATTTATGTATTTGTCTGCTTCGTTAAGGATGGTGGCTGCGACAAATTTCATTAATTTTACGTGTGATTTACATATAGGTGATTTAAATTGGTCCTTAAATTGTGTCATAGTTGATTTTTCAAATCCACTGGACAATATCTTGTATTATGGTCTGAATAGCTTGCAAATCGCCAAATATGATATTGATAATTATCATATTGGTAGTTGTAAAAGAGTTCCACGAAGGTTTATAATTAGTGCTTTATCGCATATTTTTAGATAATTTGTCATTTTCATTTTGATACAATTTATTTTAAAAATTGGAACAAATTCACAACATATTTTATTATAAAACTATTTTGGCAATTTGAATCAGATTACCTAAAATAAAACCGAAAATAAAAGTTGGAATTCGCTTGAAAAAAATTAAATATTTAAATACATATTTATTCACGTTCTGAATTAAGGGATGGTGCTCTCGCTTGTCGCTAAAAGTTGTTTATGATTATAATACTAAACATGAAAAAAAGACAAAAAATTGAAATTTTCCATTATATTTCTTCAGTTCAAACGCTCGCCAATACATTTTGCGTAACTTACGTGAAACTAATTGGAATATAACCGAAAGTAGTCAAAACTAAAGAAAGAAGTAATTTCAAATTTATAGAAATTGAAACAAAACACCAAAAAACTTCTAAATTTGTTAATTGTTGAAATATCTGCAATTTTTCGGTGACATTCCTCCAAATCAGAGTTTTTCATAAAACCATCTAGAACGAAAGATGAATTATTGATATTTCAGATTTGGGTTTTGAGTGTTCACTTTCGTTATAGTTAGGCTTACCATGCCGACAAGTCAGCCAAATTCACGCTTTGGCGTTCAGCCATCCAGCATAATACACGAACATCACCAATAACATGTTCTCGTTACTGTCGTTGCTTTGCGGCGCAGCGCTTGCCTACTATCTGAAGGTGACAGAACGAAACACGACAGAACGAATCGCATTCATTTTCATTTGTTGAATGCACCAACGCCAGTTGTACATACGATATATCAGGAAATACTAAGTGTTTGTA